TACCAAGGTGACAATGGACAAATAAATTACGCCTTTACATTTCACTTAGGCGCGTATTTATGAATGAAATGTTGCTCTTTTTGAAACAATGTAGGTTCATGATCAAAATTTAGCTTATATAGCGGGAAAACTAAAAAGTTGCCACTTCCACATGTATCTAAATGTTCACTGAGTGGAATCGTGCGGTTGTGTGGCTGCTTTATTTGTGAACGGTGAAGATTCATTCTTCTTTTTAATTTAAGTTCTGTCTTTCCGATATACTTTTGATTGCATCCACTACAAACAATCAAGTAAATAACATTTCTAGTATCACAAGTCATATTTTGTTTAACAGTAAATTTAGTGTCCTTTGAACAGCCTTCAATTATATTGCTGCAAGTTAGGCAACGTTTGTCGCCGCACTTAGAAACCTGTGGAGTGATGACAACAGAATCAAATTTAGAACTTGTCAAAATCTTTCTAAGATTTTGGGGTTGTCTTTGGCTGTTGATAATTTTGTATTTGCTCAATATCTTCTCCATTTTAACACTTTGATTCAAAATAGGCAGGTATCGTTGAACCATTGATAATGATTTTTCATGATTAGGGTTGAAGGTAGATACTAGAGTTAAATTATTCCCCATATTGTTTTCTTCAAACTTTTCTCTCAGTTTTAGTTGCTCAATACTTAGCGCCTTCAGTATGCTATCTTCAATTAGCTTTGCGGATAATTTTGATGCAGTAGGAAACTCTTAAGTTCTGCAAGGGGGGTAGTTTTAACATCATTCCCAGAAACAATGGTACAAATACGTCTTCCGAGACAGTGAGGGATATTACGTTTTGTATGATACGGGTGACATGATCCAAATTCCAAATATTGGTGCGTATCAGTATCTTTATAAAAGATATCAGTTTGTACAAATCTCCCAGATATTAAATTGATTCTTACATCGAGAAAGGTAAAACTGGATTTGCTTTTTTCCATAGTGAAATTGAGTGACGCATTAAGTGAATTTAAAATTTCATGAACAGCTGTAAGTTGACTTTCACTGGTTTTTAATATGATAAAACAGTCGTCTGAAAACCTTTTTCATGAATATTCAATTTGTTCTTTCATAGATTCACCAAGAGTATCTCTCACCTTACCATAAAACATATTCTCTAAAAATCCAAACACAAGGGTGGCATAAGTAGGGGCTACCTTAGTACCCATGGCTACTCCTTTCTTTTGTGAATAATAAGATCCATCAAAATAAACCATGTTATTGGTAATAACCAACTTCAATGCATCAATGACTCAAAATATATATATACAGGTTAGGTATTTGCCCACAGCAACACCTGCATAACTGGTGCATAACACGCGTGGTGTGGCAGATTGTAATTGACCAAGAGCAGGTATTGTAGAATCACCTGTAAGTAAGACTGACAGTGTAATTAAATACAACGTATTAATGAGTGAATGAGTAAAATGAGAATTATCATAAGAAGGATGTTTTTTGTCTGAACACATTTTTATACTAAAAGTGGCAACGCATTTAAAAGTTGCTTTTGTGTCAAAATGTTCACTCAAAATTTCTTCAATCGCCTTTATTGGTCAGTTCGACACCGCATATAATTAAATAATTATTTTAGGATAATGCTTTAGCAGAAGTAGATGCTGCACCATTGCAAGAAAAAACACAAAGACTTGAGTTGGATGTAAGGCCACAGGTTTATATACAGAAAAGTACAAGGACTGGAGAACTCTCCAGGGCTGGGAAACGCTAAACACGGCTGACTGTCAATCCGAAGGTGCCCGGACAGAACAGCAAACGCGGCTCCGAGGGTACAAACCATACGGAGCCAAATGATCGGACCCCCTCAGGGAAAAGCACATAGGGGGTCTGCTGTAGGCTCTACAACCACCATTATACAATAGGGCCTAGAGGGTAAGCCTCAAATACCTCCAAAACACCAAAATCACTACTCCCAGCCCAAAAGTGTTCCGCGACGCATACAAACCAATTGTCGTGCGATGTTATGTGTAGAATGTGCTAATCCATGATCTTCACCTGTTGTGCACATACAAACCCCTGTGACTTGTTCGACGCATGTTTATGCCAGGACAGCTCTTGCCTCGCATATACTGAATTGTCCAAAACTTGCCACAACTACAATATAAAGGTAAACAAGCAGCAGTACATGTTACCGACACATACAAATACTTGAAATTAGATTAACTATCAACTGAGGAAAAGTTATACAGATACATTGGCGGATACAGAGGGCGCGGGGTGTATGGGTGGTGGTGGGGGTGGGGGTGGGGGTGGGGGTGGGGGTGCGGGGGTTCGCACACACCCCTTTTTATTTCGAAAAAAATCTTTATTTCTGTATAAATTACCACCAAAGAAAATAAATAGATCTTAATTGTGCACCCCCCCCCCCCCCCCCCCCCCCCCCACCACCCAACCCCCCTTTTCAAAAGAGCTGTATCCGCCCATGAGGTATATATGTTTAAAAAGAGAAGTAATGGGAGGGATGGGAGGGAATAAACGTGTTACCGGTGTGGTTGTGTGGATGAAAAAGAGGATGTAGCAACTAAATTCAGCTGCAACACGGGTTACTTCCCATGTGAAGAACAATTCCTTGATAGTACACTGATAAGGTACCTTGCACTATTAAACCAGGAAGAGTAGCTTCCCTTGCACTATTAAACCAGGAAGAGTAGCTTCCCTTTGACCGTGGAACACAAATGCAGGGGGAGAAAGCCCCTTGAATTGGAATAATGTAAGATTACCAAAATAATGCATTTTATTAATTAATAATATATTTAGTTATTTCGAGATTTCGTTATGCAATGAAAGACGAATCGGGGTTTTTTTCCATTAAAATACGCGCACGTGTACCTGTATATTGCATACCTAGTGTCACTTAAATTGCCCAGTGTCATGTATCAACGGGACATAAAATGTGAAATGATAAAGAAACTCACTAAACTTTAATGTTGTTGAAAATAACGCCAATGAATTGGAGTACACGCGCATGAATTTGTATGATAAACTATCAAAACGTTTTGAGAGTTTGGGCCGGGTTCATTAAAGATCGTTACAATATAAAAAAAGGTAAAATTTGTAAAACCTCTATAAAGTAAACATCCAACCAAAGGCTCTTTTTAAATAATAATCTAATGATATAATATAAAGTATATTTCATAAGATACAATATACTTTGCACACAATTAGATAATGCTTTAAAGGGACTGACGAAAGCATGGGAGAAATATTTTAATAACGCCACAAATTAGTTCAATTAAGTAAAAATGAGTTGAATCATGTGTCATGCTTGTAGACACACCTTTATGTATTTTTGAAACTGAAACTGTTGAGCAAAGGAAAACATTCTCGCCCATGGGCCAAACTTTCTCGTCCAGGGCGAAATATTTCAATAACGCCGTACAATAGTTGAAATCAAGTTAAAATGAGTTAAATTATATGTCATAAAACTTCTAAGAACACCTTTATGTATTTGCGAAACAAAACCACGAGTTTTGAACAAAAGAAAATATTCTCGCCCACGGGCCAAACGTTTTCTCGCCCATGGGCGAAATATTTCAATAACGCTATAAAATCGTTGAATCAAGTTAAAATGAGTAACAATAACATTATGGGTCATGAAACTTGTAAGAACACCTGTATATATTTGGGAAACAAAAACATGGGTTTTGAGCAAAGGAAAATATTCTTGCCCATGGGCCAAACCTTTTCTCGCCCATGGGCGAAATATTTCAATATCGCCATAAAATCGTTGAATTAGGTTAAAATTAGTTAAATTGTATGTCATGAACTTGTAAGAACACTTGTATGTATTTGGGAAACAAAAACAAGAGTTTTGAGCAAAGGAAAATATTCTCGACCATAGGTCAAACCTTTTTTTCGCCCATGGGCAAAATATTTCAATATCGCTATAAAATCGTGGAATTAGGTTAAAATGAGTTAAATTTTGTGTCATGATACTTATAAGAACTACATTTATGTATTTGGAAAACAAAAACATGATTTTTGAGCAAAGGAAAATATTCTCGCCCATGGGCCTACCCATGGGCCACACTTCGCTCATGGGCAGGCCATAGTGTAAATATTGAGTTTTTGAACAATTTTTTTTCCATGTTTTCTTTCTTAGTATGTTCCCATGTACAGCATGTTTATTTTTGTAAATACCTTTGACCCAGTTTCTGGACTATTGGGTTTCCAGAACTTAAATGGGACGTGTTAAAATGAAATACAACGTGAAAACGTCACTGCTACACATACAAGGCGGTTTCACTGATCTCTTTCATTTCCAGGTCAGATGGATAAAACAGTGGAAGGGAATGATCTGTTTGAACATTATTGAACAAAACGTCAGGAAGCCAGTATACAATCATGTAAAGTCAACTTCGAAATGTCAGAAACCTGAAAATGAAATCAGATCAAAATACATTTAGCAACACCTAAATTTGGTAATTAATATCCAATCAAATAATACTATGTATATCATTATTCAGTATCTACAATCATCCTCAACAAGATCACTAAGACTAACCAGTCATCTTCAGCACATGTAATTACTTATCCCTCATCTAAGAAGGGACAGTCGTGTGGTGATATGCATAATTCTTCTTATCAATAATCATCCTCAAATTCATACTCATGTAGGACTGTATGTCTTTGTTTGGTAACATAAATACAGGCTAATTGTGCGCTATATGTGTCCAAGTAAGCCCTCAGTCAATGACAGAAATGATTGAGTTGCATTAGTGAACATACACCTTTATATTTTCCTGTACAGGTTCGAAGTTCCTGAAGATGTGCATTTGAATCTTTTGTACCTAATCTAACATAAAGAGAACACATAATAGTGCATTTACATTAAATGCTGTTTGCAAATCCTACCTTCTAATTTTATCATTTACATAGAACTGGAACATTTTGACAAATATATACTTAGAAGTGTGTATTTGTTCTACGCATGAAATTTGTTATGCTATTTTATACTTTCAGCATTTTTACAGATAAAACAAAAGAAGGCTGACGAAAGACCTGCATCTCAAGGATGTCCGTCCGTATACTCTCTTCAGCGATACGAACACATTTACATATTCACAAAATACATACAGCTGTATCTGTGAGATACTATGCAGGTCGCCCAAGAGCATATGTGCCATATGGAAAAACAGGAGACGGAAATTATGGATCAACACTCGGAAAGCAGAATGCTGGCTACATGGAACCAGTACGAGACAAGATCCTTAACTTGGTCAAATCCATTCCATTCACTGCCAAAGACTCAGTGTTCAACATAGGCGACTATGGCGCAGCTGATGGCTCTGCTTCCATGGTCTTCATTGGGCAGATGTTGGCAACTCTGAAAGATCAGCACGGTCCAGAGGCACAATTCCAGGTCATCTATGAAGACTTGGAAGTGAATGATTTCAATTCCCTGTTCAAACGTATGTCAGGAATCATTCCCGAACCTCCTTCATACCTTCTGGAAATGGACAACGTCTATGTTTTCGCTGATGGGACAAACTTCTACAAACAATGTGTACCTTCAAATTCAATGCATTTCATCATGAGTATGATCTCTGTTCACTGGCTGTCGAAGACTCCAACAAACTTTAAGGACTCAATTTACAAAACCCCTGAGAGTAGTGCTGAGGAGAAGATGGCTTTAGAAAAACACTCTGAGATCGACTTCGAGACCTTCTTACTTTGGAGAAGTCGAGAAATGAAAAAGGGAGGCCTGCTTATTCTTGGTGCCGGATGTGAGACTGTAGACAAGAACAGTGGAAAAATCAAGTATATTGTTGAGACGTTCATAACGTTACTCACTAAGGTTTGGCAGGAATATAGAGAATCTGGGAAAATCTCAAAAGAAGAATTTTTGAATACAAATCTTTCATTTTGCCTTCACAGCATGGCTCAGCTGAGAAAACCATTCGATGACAAAATGTCAGCAGTTTCCAAATCCGGACTCTGTCTCTTGTCAGCTGAAACGGTTATCAACCCTGACATATTTTACACAACATGGAGGGAAAAGAAAGACAAGGAAGGGATTGATGACAGTGAGGAGTTTGCTCGGATGTACACATCGGCCCATAGGAACTGGAGCAATAGCACCTTCATGAACGGCCTCTCAGACTCCCGCTCACAGGAGGAGAAGAAGAAGATAGTGGATGAGTTCTATGACAGTGTTGAAAAACGAATTTCAAAGCTGAGCCCCGAAGAATTCAAGGATGATTTGCGATTCACATATCTTGTGATCAGAAAAGAATAGCCAGCTTACAATCCTCAAGAAGAGCAAGACTTTGTATCATGTCCACATACATACATATAAATGCATAATAACTAATACTATGTTATCGATTTTAATTCTTTAATGTCCCACAATACTTGAAATTTCAAGAAGCACGTTTCAATTTCGAACACCACACGAACACCATTTCACCCAAGTTGTTTAACTTTAGGAACAGGATATGGATTTGGCATCTTGTGATGTAATTCCACTACTTGTGGCTGCCAAGACTGATTATACTGCTTCCAACACGTTGGTCATGCATACAAACTGGTGACTTCTCTAATATTGACAACCTTCGTCAGTTATTCAAATGTGAATCAACATGTCGTAAGGAGCCTCCTGTCCGTTGAGATTACAACTTTAAAATAATGATGGATACTGTCAAAGAATCTGCCAACACATTATTCCCAAGAGCAGAGGAACCTGTTTTTCAGAGTGTGTTAGGTCAGTACGTGATGTTGTCATTGGGAGAATGAAATTGAAAAATGGGAACCAGAACTGGAGTAAATATATTCTGTTCCAACCAGATGTCATCTAAAGTCTGGTTTCCCTCCCTATATGAAATGTTTGCAGTTTGTCCCACTGCAAAGGTCTCAAATAACATAACCATTATATCTTATGTCATTACAATTAATAACATTAGAGGAAAATATGAAGAGTGTATATCATTTTATTGAGGACAGAGCAGGATTACATGCTTCTCATCTTCTAAAACAGAGCATTTAATACAAAGAATATCATTAATATGTACAGTACTTCAACGTATTCGTAGTTTCTGTAAGCTAATACATTATACCCACTTCCAGATTGTTAATTACTTCTATGTGATATGTGCAAATATCAATAGACAGATATGTCACCGACATATTGAGCAAACCATAAGAAAGGCAGAGTAGCCCAATTTGGGTATGTTCTATTGCAGGTTTGTTGCAGCGTATCATATTATTGAAATATCTTGTGGCAGTGAAACCTGATTGAGTCAGTCCCGAATAAGACTCACTGAACTTTCGGTTGACTAATTCCGTAATATCTCTTTGTGTAAATTCTCATATCTCACTTCCATAAGTACAATTTCCTGAATAAATTTTCGAAAGCATTTATGAGTTACATTTCCTCCAATACGTATTACAATTAACAACACTAACACCACAAACATTGGAGAAGTACTATCAGACCCTATTTAGTGTAATCTTCAGTTTTAGAAAACCGATTTCATTATAAGAAATTATTTTAAGGGAATTTACACTATGAAAGATCTCTGTAATGAAGATGAGATAGTGCCCTTTAGTGAACTGAAAACAAAATACTAAATTAAAATTAGTGACTATTACCAAGTTCTATTAAACATACCAAAATCCTGGAAAGATACTATAAGAAATAATCACATTATCTTATATAATCAACATTTAAATACAAATTTGATGGACTTGTTTGTAGCGCCTAAAGGCTCCAGATATTTTGATATGCGTGTTTTAGTGCTGACATTGATTTAATTTTGTTGATATGACTCATGTCATTTGAATTGTTAGTGCTGTAAATAAACATATGAGTAACAGTTTGTGGTGTTCTTTCCTTACTCCTTACTGGCTGACAAATGGATGAAGAAAGGACTGAGTCGTAGGTAACAGGCATGGGATTAGTAATGAATCAACCATTACTAAAAGTGTCTAACAAATGGGATGTCTGACAGATGTCTAACAATGAATGTAAAGACACAAGACAACGACGACCACCGGACTTTGTCGGATGGTGCCGGAAGACAGACAATTAAGCGAGAGGGAAACGGTACGGTCACTAGACCGTGACTGTACTGTTTTTCTCCTTTTTTCCAACATTTGAAATAATTGGTTCACGTTTCTTTGTTCCCACATATGTTGATACCTTTGCCATCAAGGCTCATATGACCCCACCCCCCGTCATAAAGTTGTCCTTTGTAGTGAATTCAATATGAAATCGGCTGTTAACTCAAGGTGTGAAAGTCTTTCTTGTTTTATTTCCTGAAAGATGAGGATAAGTTGTCCTGCTTTTGATTTAATAGAAGTTAGATCAATAGTTGAAGTCAAGTTTTTGAAGATAGCAAATGGTAGTTTTCGATCGAACTGCCACCAAAACTACATCATAGAATTCTAAGTCGACAGTCTTGGTGTTTTCGTTGCTGGTTAGCTTTTACAGGTCAAAAGCAAAGTTAATCGCATTACTTTCGTAGCGCATTTTAGGCTGTCATACAGTTCCTTAACCAAATATATCCGATACAGCCGATGCAAGTCAATAATATTTGGCAAGACTAGATTACTGCAGTTATATATTTTATTAATATAATTAAACAATTGTTTTTTAATTTTTGTAAAATATGTTCATTTCAGAAACTAGATGTTAGTCTAGCCAGCGGTCTAAACTCGCATTAATTTGGTTACACGTTTCATGATTTACAGTATTCGTGAAGAATATTTAACAATTAGCCACAATTAGAGCCTTTGGTAGGAGTAGAGGGAATGATAAGCATAGACTTGCTAAGTATTTTCTGATATTCATGCTAGCTCAAAAGAAACTTTGATTTATGATTGTAGTACACCCCCCAAAACAGGGATTACACAAGTGATATATTAAGATGACATACAACTTATACATACTTACGTGTATAAACTACTATCAAACAGTGAGGATGACAGGTGTTTGCAAAAAGGTGAGCGTATCCTGCAAACACATGCAAAGGCAAGCAGAGAATTTCATCGGACATAACTCCATTTGCTACTTCTGTGGTAGTCACCAATCAACCCATTTATACTTCCAAAAATAGCTTTAAACAAAAAAAAGCTTTTGAGAAATTCAAAAGTATGGGTATGGTCTGACAAAGCAAGAAGCACACATGGGGCATGTTTCGGCCAATGATAAGGAGTTTTCTTGCAAGTCTAAGGGTCCAACTGGAGTTATTTCTGCGACATGCTATTTGAAAACCCAAAATTCAGAGTGCTATTTATGAAACGAAAAAATGAAATAATACAAGTATAAATTCCTTCCAGGTGAAGGCTATCGATTGAAATCAAAATAACAAAGCAGATTTTAGTCAAAGACACATCTCTTGTAATTGGGGTAGAAGTTCATCTCTGTCACCATTCTATGGTATTTCTGGAAAGGAAAGTTAACATACAAAGTTGTAATATACGTGAAAGGCTGAATGTTGCTGATTAAGCGCAAAGATATAAACTCTCACTGACTGCTCAGTAACATTCATGTAATATTAATAATATATCCCGGGCTGTTACGTTTGGGATATCTGTCCTTCAAACACAGGAGTCCATCAGTAGGTCCACAACACTTTATTTGTGATATAACAGTTACAGCATGAGCATAATCACGATTGTGGTAATGGGACAGACATGGCCAGGCAGCATATCAGAGGCGTCAGAGAGCCAACCTGCCTAGCCGCTGTCCGAGGGACAAGTCCCGACTCACAGAAAGCGTACTATCTTTAACCCTCACTGTCAGACTGTAATGTATCGTGTTACGTTACATACATGGTCAGCCTGCAGTATCCCGCACCTCATCCGCAAAGTTAAGCTTCAGTGGCCAACCGGCCATTCTCTGGCACTAATTAGGAGCCACTGACCTGCACATGACTCTGTTCTGTTGGCCATAGTAATAATAGCCCAGCTGGTGTTATAATTTGATTTGGGCATCGATGTGAATATTTATCTATATATATATTTAACTTATTTAACTCAGGGAATATATAAGACATATATATATTCGCTGATAAAACCTATACTCTGCCAAACTGCCTACGATAAATATTCAAATAATTGTACCTGCTCTTGGTGTGTGTGACGTGGATACATATATATGTAAGCAACCAATGTATTATGATCAGGGTCCATTGGTATCCCTTCAGCAAGTGCGAATCAGGTCCTGACATATCTGTTTTGTCATGTATCACGCGCTATACAGTCAAACCTCGCTTATCCGGACAATTGCTTTTTCTAAAATGATGTCCGGATAAACGAGTTTCTAGAGATCTGAATACCTTGTGAACTGACCAGAAGTCCTTCCCCTACCTCAATTCTACCGAGGCATATGTGAAATGAATGGCCAAAATATGATTTATGAAGGATCGACCAATAACTAATAAAATACATTTTTACTGTACAGACCTACGCAGCATGCTGTGACAGCGCACTGCATTATTGAAACAGCTGAAGAAATGCATATGTGACCTAGTTTAGACAATGCACTTGTTTGTACGGATGTGACGGCGAGGTTAGGGCAACCTGACACACATGAGTATTAATAGCCACGTTTACCTGTACGAGTGGACTGCCAAGGTTGTTTCGCAGGTAGGTTTTGTTAAGATTTGTTATCTTGTCCTCTCTCTACCCTCTACTTCCTTAATCCCAATTTAAATCCTAAATAGACTTTCGGGCTTAACACTGTCGCTATTTTAGACCCTCTGTTTCTGTTTTTACTCGAGCTCATTTCCCCTAATGTTTACATCATATCATAAGACTAAGTCGTCAATGATGTCAAAGCTGCCTGACATGTTTCTTATGAGCAGTTTATGAAGCTGAACAATGTCCAAGTGACTGAGGCAAAACAATACGCGCTATCTATTTGATCGACGTTTGTATGTGCTTATTGGGGAGAGGAGGTGCTGACTACTAGTTAAAAACAGAGATCATATTAGATTACTAATGAGATGGTGATAAGGCTCGGGTTTTGAAACAATCTGAACTCACAGTCTTGAATTACTACACAATACGCTGCCTGGGACCCCAGCTTCGATGGCTAAAGTGTGCAAAGATTGTTTGTGAATGAGATAAGCTATAAGCTATATTCTCCGGATAGTAGTCCTTGAAATGCATGACGTAGCAGTCCCCCCATGTACTCAATATATGCTATTTCAGTATCCAAGTATATTCAGGCGACATTTCCCAGACAGTGGAAAATATTCATCCTTATTCAAACACAATATTTACAAGCAAATGAGGAAAAGAGACAAACGATTTCTGTGATGAGTGAAGCACTGTATGTGTGTGTGTGTGTGTGTGTGTGTGTGTGTGTGTGTGTGTGTGCGTGCGTGCGTGCGTGCGTGCGTGTGTGTGGCTATGTTTGTGTATGTGTGTGTATATATATATATATATATAATTCTTGCAAAATACTACACCTCTATCACATCATTGCCGTAAATTCCTGTTTATGCTGAGAACCACACTATAAATTTTTATAAATTTTCAACAGACGTCCACTACACTGCCAACATATCCATAGTTGTGAGGAAAACCCTATCACTTGCCATGGACGCTACCGCGCATGCGCAAGGCGGGAATCTAATCACTTCTTTCCTGTGTGTCTTGATGACAACAAGGAAAAATATTTTGGTTGCACATCAGTACATGTGATTGAGTTCCACACTACTAAGCAAATTGATCTTCAAGAATCACAGTCTGCAAGCAGTGAACAGTTCTACTAGAAAGGGGGTATAAGAAGATCGGACGATCTCGTAAGTAATTAGTTTATGGGAAGTGTTGTGGGATGAAATCCTCATCTCAAAAACAGACACCCGTCTGTTCGGGCTGTGGCCAACACCAAGTCCCTGGTGACCCTCACCCCAGATGTCTTGCTTGCAAGAAAAGCAGTTGTACACAGAAGTCTAGATGCATCTACTGCGAACCTCTATCAAAAGAAAAATTTGATAAGCTCGCCTAGGCATGGGCCAATAATCCGGACTATAAAAAGTGTACTAGAGCGTCTACTTCTATTAAAAGGAAAGTGATTAAACCATCGGGGTTTTTGATCACGTGGGTGACAAGAAAGTGTCGCGAGAGGATGAGGTTAAAAGACCTCGTGCCTCATCCCACTCACCCACTCAAGTTAAGGAGCAGATGTATTTTACCGAGTTCGAAGATCTCCCTAACTTACATCCGGCGGCGTTAGGCATGGCTGATCGTCGTAAAAACGACGTTCCCCCGCTGCCGCATCACCCCTTTAACTTAAATGAGTTCACGGACAAGCTAACTAATTCAATGTCTGTTATGATTGACAATCGAATGCAATCTATGTCTCAAGAAATATCAGAGCTAAAAGATTCTTTGTCTCAAACCCGGCATGGCCAATCAAGGGTTGATAATGAATTTAGACAAAGATCTAAAGCTGTTTATGAGCACACCTTCATACAGCAGAAATACACAAGGCTACGTTAAATCAGATTATGAGGACAATAGGAGAGTCATTCATAGAGACAGAGAGTATCAGAGATTATCTCCCTACCATGAACATCATAGGGCGCACCGTGAATCACGGACTAGGCATAGAGATACCATCAATCTCCCTCTAGCTCCTATGACAAAAGATCTGACATAGACCGTGCATATCAGCATAGAAAACCTAGGCGTTCGCCTTCCCATACGGTATCTAAATCCAGATCTAGGGACAAAAAAGCGAGACAAGGATTACGTCACCTTCCTCCAGTTACAGAACACGTGACTCCCACTTAGCTTATAGTAGGTCCGACAGTCGGGATTACGCAACCCCCAGCCATTCGTCTCACCCCCAGCGCAATCAGAATAGGGGGTGCGGGTCTTTAGGTCTTACTGACTTTTCAAGCTATGGGGACACTACTATTGATGATGAATTCAGACCTAACAATTATTCTCTTATAGACATCGTTGCTGAACTTTATGAGCTAATTATAATGCCGTCATTAAAACCAGAAACGGATAAGACTACTAAACCCTTGTTAGAACGTGCAGGATATGAGGAGCCCGGCAGGGGGACTGTGACGACGTTATCAAGAAAACAGAACATTCTTTGAATTTTACTACGGGCACTAGCTCAAAATTGAGGTCTACGTACAACAAATATGCGTACAAAATTCATGATGATCCCTTTGCAGAACAGATTAGCATTGATGATGAATATCATGAGTTGGTTAAGAAACCTAACCCCATGATGCGCACTGAAATGTCCAAAATCAAGTACTTAGACAAAATCAACAAACAGATGATTAATGTCAGCTCTTACATTAACTGGTTAGCAGCGGGCAATCGCCACTCTTTACCCTCGTACAACCAGACCACTGATCTACCATTAGACGCTCCCTTGGAGATGTCACATCACGAGGCTCGTTTCATACACAGTTCATTGGACCACATACTGAGGATGCAGGAAGAACTACAAACTTCACAGGTATGGATGTCAGCAAAGTTTCTGACCAAGCAAAGAAAACACTTAATACATCAAATTAATCATGCTATACCAGAACCGTTAAAGAACTTATTGATGGCACAGTCTATTACTTCACCTAAGATGTTCAACGGTAGATTGGAATCAGTGAAGGAAGCCATTGCCTCTTCTACCAGTCAGAAATTTCAAGAATCCACCATATCGTTAGCCTCCAGTTTGCATAGACGTCCTACAGAGATTCGTCACCAACAGAATCCTAGACGTCGACGTGTCCAGTCTGACCGGGATTCTTTTCGTCCCTCTACGCAGAAGTACAGATCATATCAACCCAGGTACAGGAACTCCAAAGAGCATTATCCCACTTCACAGAGAGGTGTTAGCAAAGGAAGAAGCAGTCGCGGAAGGGGCCTCCTCCGGAGATGACTCAACCAAGATTCTACAGACACGCCCAGACCCTATCGACATCGCCTGCCCAATGGACAACGATTTAGATTTACGGAAGATCAAAGACATGACCACTTTAGATCCAGTCGAGCTAGCCGGTCTCACAGACATCGACCCAAGACTACCCAAGTTCAGCATTCATCCTTCTCCGGGTACAGTAGGAGGCAGTCTTATGAAGTACGCAGACGAAGCAAGTTGTAAGAAGAGGCTACAAACTTCACTTCTTAAAAAGGCCAAGGCTAGTCACCCATCCTACCGGACCTAGATATCACCTATCAGGACCGAAATTGATTGCAGCAGAAGTGGCCTTAGGAAAACTTCTTGCAAAAGGAGCTATCAGCATCCTAGAAGAATCAGACACCACTCTCGGATTCTACTCCCCAGTATTCCTGGTACCAAATAAAAATACAACAGAGATGCGACTTATCATAGACCTGAAAGTTCTGAACAAAGGATATCTGGAAAGACCACCCGAGTTTCAGATGGAGTGTATAAAGAAGTTGAAGAGCTCTTTAAGACAAGCAGATTGGATGACAAGTATAGATCTTCAAGACGCGTATCTTCACGTATCTATCCATCCAAGTCATCGGCGGTACCTACCGTTGCTGTCAACGGCCAGAGATACCAGTTCAGGGTACTTCCATTCGACATATCCATCGCCCCATGGCTATTCACCAGGATCACCAATCCCGTCATCGGTTTCGCACATCTAAAGCTCATAAGACATCACGGCTACATAGAAAATTTTCCTATCGGCCGATCAGGACAAATCGCAAATCAGCTTAAACACAATGTGTATCATCCAACTTCTCACTCATCTAGGATTCCTGGTTCATCCCCAAAAATCAGAGCTAGTACCTACTCAAGACATCACCTACATAGGCGCAAGATTTATACTCAACAAGGGCAGAGTAGCACCTCCAGAGGACAGATATGCAAGAGTAGAACACATGATAACAAACGCTCTCGATCAACCCATTAAGTCAAGACGCTGGTGGATGTCATGTCTAGGCACGCTCACATCTATCCAAGATCTAACCTACAGAGGCAGAATACAGTTACGACCTCTACAGATTTGGATGAACACCACCACACACCTAGAGCTGGAAGTATTAATCCATCCTCCACAAGATCGCATATCAGAACTCCATTGGTGGCTAAATCGTCAAAATGTCATGCCAGGCATTCCACTCTATTACCCCACCCCTCTACATCAACTCTACACAGATGCGTCAGGAGAAGGTTGGGGTGCCCATATGGACGATGTTACCATTCAGGGAAAATGGTCCTCCCAAGAGAAAGAATTACACATCAATTGTCTAGAAATGAGAGCGATTTATCTAGCATTAACAGCATGGCTAGATCGACTACACCATTCGTCTGTAAAAATCGCCACAGACAACTCAACCGTGGTCGCTTATATTCAGCACCTAGGAGGCACAAGATCCCTATCTTTACTGAAGGAGGTTACACGTTTATATGCCTTGGTAGACTCAGTAAATTGCAAGATCGAAGCAAGACACATACCCGGGCAAGCTAAATATCCTAGCAGATTATCTATCCCGACAGAACAAGATAGTACCCACGGAATGGTCACTACCTCCCGAGGTGTTCAAGTGGATAACCCATCTATGGGATACTCCGAACCTAGATCTTTTCGCCACAAGTCTCAACAACAAATTACCAGTCTACGTCAGCCCAGTACCAGATC